GATTTCCTTAATATGAGTCGAAGTACCTTTCTTGATCTTATCCTGCACAAAGAGCAAAACCTTGTTAAGATGTTGAGTAAAGGAATCCACATCGAAGAATTCCTCACCGTAATATTCTTTCTACCACTTGTCCAACTCTGAAGTGTAGAGGAAATTTAGCTTGAAAGCAACATGAGTGAGTTGTGTTTGGCCAACATAGCGAGTTATTTGCTTAATGGTCATAGCCTTAGTATGAATGACATTGTAAAGAAGAAGGGCATTCTTTTTCTCATAGATGTGTTGTGGTAGAATATGAATCAATCCAAATTGTCGAGCGACGAGGTTTTATTGATAAGCAATGAGAGTAACCTGTGTTTTCAGTTGATTAAGCCTCAGGGTTAACACCCTAGAAGTTAAGAAAGCTTCCCATATGGTGAAGGATTTTGCTTCTTGGTTTTTTATTGGAGTTGGGAATGGCCTGGTAAACCATTCAGGACCGTGTCTTCGAGCACAAAAAGGAGCCACGTTGGATGTAAAATCATAACATTTGGCGAACATCACACATAGTTGGTAAAGGTCTGTTGCAGGTGACACCATTTGTCGCTAGGAGTCAACATGGCTAAACGCGTCCCTTCGACTCTCCTAGTTTTCACTTCATCAATGTCCTCGTTGATGGGATTCTTGATGGAGAGGCATGCTTCGAAGAAGGCATTCAACCATAGTTGCAACAACCAAAATGGGCCAGAAAGAAGACAGTTCCCTTTGTCTCCAAGGTACTTGAGTTGGGCAACACCTTCACCCAAAGATTCATAAATACTCGCCAAAATCATCTCACTTAAGCACGAGTCATGACCATAATGGAGTTGGTTGGCCATCGTCAGATATTTTTTGGCTACGTGAAGTGACTTCGAACAGAAGACACAACGGGATAACCATAAAGCGAGGAAAGCTATGTGTTATACTTCAGAAACTTCATTCGTTGTTTTGTCATGACAGTGTGCAATATGTGTGGATTAGGCAACTCTAGATGTCGAAAAATCTATGGTGTCATCAACTTGGTAGTCTGGGTCATAAGTATTGCCAGTTAGTTTAAGCCCCGTGATGGCGGTTATGTCGAAGAGGGTTGGTGACATCATCCTGCAAGAAAGATGGAAGGTATAATGGGTACTGTCCCAGAAGTACGTGGAAGAGAGTAACATAGTCGAACAATATTCAGGTCCTACTTTTGACAGCTGAATTAAGTTGAAAATACCCATATCTTTCTAGATCTGGGATTTGGTTTTCTCTAACTTCTCTAGCCATCCTAAGTAGTCAGAGAGATCTTTAAAGGAAGGACCAGATTGAAATACCCTAAAACCATTGTTCATGTATCTTAAGTCAATGGTTTCATTTGTCGAAGGGTTGTCTTGGTTAGCAGATTTTGTGTGTTCGTTTCTAGCCCTATGTTTCTTAGCATGAGCTATGGGTTTGCACTTATGGTAAGCATGGAAGAATTTAAGTTTAATGAGGTCAATATTGGGATCAAATATAGGTCATAATAAAGCATAAGACTTATCAGTAACATAAACAAGGACCGGTACCTGAGATTTGTAGATCCTGCGTTGTTCTTCAGAAAATGGTTTTGGAACATATTATTGATTTCCCACCATGATTGGGCCCGAGATCATGTTGAAAGGAGGGAGGTTTGAAAGCTTCTTAGGATCTTTCACGAGCTTGGAAGATTCTTTGGTAGCTTTGGTTGATGATGCCATTATGGCTTAAAGCTTGAGATTTGAGAAAAAAATGGATTTCTTATGTTCTAGGAAACATGATGGGGCAGTGACAGTTGCAGCCTATACCACTATCTCCTAAGTTCTTGGAAACATGATGACTTAAAAAAGATCCCCACTTGGGACTAAGGGGACGTTTCAAAAAAAATATCATGATGACCCTGACATCATAATAGTGTTGAGGTATATGAATAGTTTGCGTCGTAGAATTGATTGTGACGTCGAATCATGTTATAAAAAAATGCTTTTTTCTTCACATAATGTCGAAAATGATATTTTTGGGGGGCAATTTGGTAGCTCGTAAATTCGACGTCTGGTTTAAGTTAGTGGAATAAATAAAGGAAAGAGAATTTTTGGGAAGTTATGGCAGACTTCGACAGGACAATTTATTTGTGAAAGTCTAGTCGAAGTGACCCCTGTGCCAGAAGGAATGATTGTTTGGACTTAGAGAAATTCTCTAAGTTTAAAGATGTAGTTCGACGAAAAGGCCACTGATGACGTCTTCGATTTAAATTTCAAATTTGAATAAAAGAGGGAACTTTGTTCTTATTCAGTTCTAAGAGAAGACACATGGAACACATTAAGGAAGTGAAGACATGCCGATCGCCACTTGTTTTGCTTTAGGAGAAAGGCCGTTAGAGGTGGTTATTTCGATTCAATATAAATAAGAGGTCTGAGTGATAGGATTTCGGTGTGCGATCAAGTTTTTACAAGTCACTCAAATTATTCAAAGTATCCTGTGTGTAGAGAAAAGAGTTATTGAGAAATGTACGTTTGACGAAACATCATTTTCTTACAATTTAATCAAATTCAATTTATACTTTTGTCCAGATATTTATCTTTATTGCATAAGTTTCTTTTGATGCGTTTTACAACACTTTTTGATTACTTTTTCGCAACATATTTCTTTTATCGAATTAAACTATTTTTCAATCATGAATGTTGTCGAAGTGTTCATTGTTTCTCAAACTTTAATTTAAAAAGCACAAGCACATGTCCTAGGATTCACTGGTTGATCATGTAAGTTAACCAATATTTGGAGACTAACGGTTGTTTACCAATTTTTACGGTAAACAGGTATCTGTTGGCTCCGCTCCTGCCGAACGGATGTGTGCTGGGCAATCCGTCTATGCCTCAATCGGTCGGCTCTGTCAGCCATTATGTTTGCAAGGTATAACTAACCATGCAATGAGTTTACGCAAATGAATAACACAAACAAGAAAATTATAAAACAAAAAGAAAAAAACAGACTGAGAAAATTCCGGAGATACATCTTCGAAAAAATTCAATGTTTCATGTACTCTGGGTGATTCTGGAGATACATATGCAGAAACATTTTGTAGTTGTATCTCCGAAATCACCAGAGTACATGAAACATTAAATTTTTCTGGAGATATTTCTCTGAATTTTTCTGAAACTCAGAGGTCGCAAAAATGACACCTTCTCTCCCTCAGAATGAGAAATTTGAAGCCCTGATAGTCCATTTGAGCGAACAAACAATATATACACTTACTTTAAACTATGTTTAAACTAGTTTATAAATATTTCTACACCTAACAATGCATTTTAACTCGTTTACAATAATACTCGAATATTTATCGGAAATTTGAAAACTTGACTGAATTATATGATCTATAAGATGTTGAGTAATGTACTAGATGCTCATTGATTACTTAAGCCTCGGACGAATGAAATAAAATTTGGTGAAGTTAGAGATATTTAGGAATGAGAGAGATGAAGAGATTTGTGAATGAAAATGAAAAAGTGAGGGAGGATAAGAGTTTGACGCGATAATATGCTCCAAATTGTTCCGAAGATATATTTCTAGAATATTTCAATGTTCACTTAAGTTTTCGTGCGTCCGGAGATATATCTCTGAAATATTTAAACATTCAATTGAATTTTAGTGCGTTTGGAAATATATATCTCTGAAATCTATGAACATATAAAAACAGTCACATGCCGTGTAAGAAGTACGTGCAAAACAAAATTCTCTTTTTTTAATTAGTTTTTTTAATTTTTAAACCCGCATCCACCAAATTATCTAAATCAATTTATTTTTATGAATTTTTTAAGTAGGTTTGACCGGAAGTTGACCCAACCCATAAGCACTTCTAATAAAAACAAATTCACAAGTTATTATTTAAAATAAAAAAATTATAAATAATTATTTATTTAATAATTTAACAAATATTATAAATGAGTTTGACTATTTAAAAATTAATACGGTTTAAAGTGAAAAGATTATAAATTATTATTATTTAATAATTCAAATAATTGTATTTTTCGAATGAAAATCATAATATAACTCGTTTCTATCATGATAATAAAAAATAAATTTAAAGTTTTGTAATAAATTATTAATTTTGTGGTTAAAATCCACTAACACTATCGATTGTTGAGCCAAATGTATTTGATATAGTTAATTTTAACTCAATCTTAAATTATGTTTTGATTTGTTTTATTAAAAGAAAATTGATCCGTTAAGGACAATTCAAAGATTGGATTTGGAATTTAAAAGTAAAAGATAATCTATATTCTTAGAACACGTATTAGTAAAATTTTATATTTTCTCAAATTAAATATAATTTTATCCAAATTAAAAATTAAAATTAAAATTAAATTCAATATAAATAAAAAGTAAATTAAAAAAATATAGTGCGTGAAATTTCTATCTTTACATATTTTTTTATAAAAGAGATAGATATCTCCGTCTTAAAGAAATAGATAAAAGAAAATCAAAGATAGTAGTAGTTTAACTCGAAATCAAATTAAAAAAAAAAGAAATTGACCAAAAAAAGAGAAAAAAAGAAGATATAAATTAAATCGAAATGTTCCAAGCTATCGTTCGGCCAGAGTTTCGTCCCTCTCATTTTTGTACATATTTATCTTTTTTATTTAATAGATTTTTAAGTTTAGGCCCAATTTATTAAAAAAAAAAAAAAAAAAAGAAAGTCTTAACGCGTTCCCAAAGCAAGGGCTCTTTAGTAGTTTTGCGTAAAAAGAGCCGAATTATTATATTATATACACGCACGAACCTGTCAGATATCCTATCAAATTCCAACACGTAGCAAAAAACCCGTCGGTTCAAATTCACACGATTCTATCCCTAATAATTCGAAAATAAAATTCCAACCCTAATATTTTCTATAAATAACGACTTGTCATGCCATCTCTCACATCCCTAAAATACAACTGTAACGCTTTCTCTCTCTTCCTCCGTTAACACACGTGTTCTTTCTCTCTAGAGACATGGGAACTGCAATTCTCCGTTCCCACGATTGCCTTCAACGTCAACGTCGGTATCTTCCTAACGACTCCTTGTCATCCTCTTCCTCACCGATTCGATCTCGAAAAAACTGTAGCCCCAACCCTAACTACAAGTCCAATGTCAATCAGAATCGTCGCCGGAACCGGAGTCCGGTGTCCGCCTTTCCGGCGGCTAAACAGCACGATCGGAGAAAGTCCGGTGAACGGACGTTTGATAATGTTGCTCCGGTGAATCTTGTCATGGGAAAAGTTAAGATTCTCAAAAGAGGTGAGAAGTTGACTCCGGAGATTAGCTATGATTCAGGACTCGTTGTGAAGGCTATGGATCTGAAGTTGGACCAACCTGATTTGGTGTTGGGATCTACGGATCGGTTTGGACCTGAACCATTAGCCATGCAGAAGCAGATTAGGGTTTCAGATTCGAATTTGAAAGACGCAATTTATGCTGGATCGACGATTTTTTCTTCTCCTCCTCCGAGTTCCGTTCCGGTTCCTTTGTTTTTGCGGAAGAACGGTGTGGCCACCAGTGATTTGCGGCGGTTGTTACGGCTTGATTAGGAATGATTAGTTGATTTTCGTTGTTCGTTGTTTGTTTACCGTCTTCTTTTCCCAAGTAGATAGTTGTCATGGATAGGTGTTTGTTCGCAGTGTCCCTAGCGTGCTTCCTTTATTTTTTCAAGAGGATTGCACGTAGGGTGTGAACTTATAAGTATAAGTAGTGTTGAAAGTGAAGCAAAGGTTTTAGTATTGATGAAAAGGTTTAATCGTTCGGTGTTCAGTTCCTGCTACGGGACATAGTTACAGTTAGGTTTTGGTTTTAGGGTTAGTTCATATGTTGATGACATAAAGGGATGAGTCTATTGTAATTTCCTTTAGTCTGATCTACGTGAATATAGACTATAGTGTTTGAATTTAGGGTTTTGATTTTCATATTGGAGAATAAAGATGGCTCTTTTAGTTTTAGGTTTCAGGTCTTTGGTTATATTCTGTGTTTATTTTTCTACTGGTGTACTTGAATTTTTGAAATTCAATGGTAATAGAAGAAAGCTTTTAGTATTAGTTTCACTCTTTCTGCTAATTTGAAAATTCAATGTTTATTACACTGTTCTGAATTTAGATATTTTGATTTATCTATTCAATTTAATATGATTACACGGTAGTGTGGGTGTTTTTAAGTTAGATATTCTGATTTATATATTTGATGTAATACGATCACACTGTAGTGTGGGTTGTCTTTGGGTAAATTAATTGATGCCTCAGATATTTCCGTGGCAAATTCATGATTAAGGCTTCGTTTGGATTGATCGAGGCAGATAGAACGGAGTTTAATGAAGTGTTTATTCTGCTCTGTTCTACCAAGTTTTCTTAAGATATTTAAACACAAGCATAGCCTATGTGATATTGTGCAACTAGATTTCACAAACTTTCCCGAGAAAAACCAGATAGGGTTTGGAATGGATTCAGTCCAACTAAAATTTAACATCTTTTTAGAGTATAATTTTCTGACTTTTGTTAAACTCCAAGGCTTGTGTATTAAGGGATTATATATCACATCTAATGGAGAAGCACTGCACTATTTTAAATTTCTTTTCATGTTTGATGGAGAATTCTCTAACGCTGTGTTCCTTGATCTATAAAGAAAAATGGGGATTTTTATCCAGGGCTATGACTTTTTAGTTTCATGATTGGTTTTTCTGTTCTGTTTTATTTTGGTTTACATGATCTGTGATCAGGGAAGTAGAATACGCGACAGTTAATTTTTGTTGCATCTTCACTTCATTCTTTGATTCAATTTTTAGCCAATATGTAATAAACCAGTTCCTGGTCTTCATTGGAGTCAGTGATTTCAACTCTTCGACGACAACCATTTTGCATTATGAAGACTACAAGCATGTTGTGATATTTTTGACTATAGGGAAACCCTACAGTTTGGTGTGTGCATAAATGCCAATCAGAGATAGGGAAAACAATACAATAGTACCTTATTTTGACTCCATTTTAGACACTATTTGGGTTTTCCCTTAAGAGGCAAAGGAATCGTTTTTATTGTAAAATTCATCCAATCATAGGATTGTTAATTTATTTTATTTGAACCAGTATTTTTGTTTTTATTGTAAAATTCATCCAATCATAGGATTGTTAATTTATTTATTTGAATCAGTATTTTCTGCGAAATAATATAATGACTATTCTCTCAAATTGGGAATGATCAACAAAACTCTCTTTCAAGATTACCACTTGTTTCTCGTGAAAATTGAAAAAACAATCGCTGATATTTTAAATATAACTTTGGTGACTCACAAGATCGTGCTAAATTTTAATCTACGGAAAACATTAAAGACTGAACACTTCGACAATGTTTATGGAAAAAGGGCAATTGAAATGTATGGTTCGACAAGAATGTAAGAGTGTTAAATTGAAAGAAAAGGGTAACAACTTTAATAAAAAATCTTAAAAGAAACAAAGTGTAACACTAAAGACGTAAATTGCAGAAAAATAAAAGATGATGTTTTACAATAGTAAACACAACACTCTGAATCCTATTGTTAGAACTCCTATTTATAATAATAAATATAACCGCTGTTAACCCTGACAAGTGTCGTGCTGCATGTATTTGCCTCTTGGATGTGCGCCACTTGTCTCGTTCAGGAACGAGATAGTATAACTACTCCCTCATTTATTTGAATTTCACATTTTGCTATTATTTGGCCAACATTCTCGGTCGAAGGTAGCTTTAATCTTAGAAATATTTTTCTAAGTCCCAAACAGTTTTCCTTTCTTATGCGAGCGTCTTCGATTTCATTTGTTGTAAATACCAAGTCGAAGGCTTCTTTACATTACCTCGAGAAATCAATATTTTAACCAAAAATTCTAATTTAATGTGGGCGTCGAATTTGTGAGTTAACAAATTGTCCCCCAAAAATGTCTTTTTCGACAGTGCTAAAGAGAAAGGCCGTTTTTTGATAGTGTCTTATTCGACGCCACCTTTCGGCTCCACGTAGGTGTCAACTTAACTGACCACCCATGACTTAAAATAACAGTTCAGCCACTTTTCAAGCACGTCCATGACGTCATGGCCAATTATGAAAATAATTTCTTGGAAATTCCACCAAATCTCAGACCATCATCATCTCTCCTAGGACCTATGAGATTGCGGGCATAGGTAATAACTATCACCGCCCCCACTCTCGCTTCTGGGACGCCATGTGTCCCACTACCTTTTAGCTCTCAATGATGAATAATGACCTTTGATTACTTTCAGTCTTATAAATAATCTCCTCAGAAATCATTTCTACTTTTTTAACTCAAAGCAATCACTACGCATTTCTTCCAAACACTCCCAACTTTTCTTCAGTAAACCCATTTTTCTTAAACCCTTAACAATGACGTCCTCCACTGTTGCTATTCAAGATCAGAAGAAAAACCCAAAGGTCAAGGGGCTCAAGAGTGTGTTGTTGCTTCCTCCCTTTGCCACACTAAGCGGGCCCAAGGTGGTGAAGAACCAACCGTTCATTCCTGAACCTCTCATAGAAGAGAAGAGGCACATCTATGAATCACAGGTAATGATTCTCGTGACTGTTTCAGGTGAACCCCTAGTTTTAGCTGGTCCTCTATCTCCTTTAGGAACAAATTACTCAACCATTAGCGACTTCTTTCCCTCCTATCACAAGACTAAACCCTTAGGGCAGAAAGATCAAACAAAAGTAGCCATTGAGGGTCCTGATAGTATAACTTTGCACAACGTAGACCTGAAGTATCCGAATGATGGGTCCAGGCTGTTCAGAGCAACTCCCTATTTCAAACATTCTGACCTTTATTTGATTTGGTTGACCAAAGTAGAGAAGGTCAAGGCAGAAGCTTGGAAGAAAACTGAGATTTATGACTTGATCATGGTGTCAAAGACAGGTCCCACTTACTGCCCTATTTTGCTAGCCTCTTCTTTATATTTCTGGGATAATACCCACTCTACCTTTCACCTTCTTTGTGGGATGATGGCACCCACTCTTTTTGACCTAGTTGCTATCATAGGGCTAAAACCTCATGGATTGGCCTATGATCCTTAAGTGGATAATCAGGACAGCATATGGTTTTCCACCACCAAGCACACGTATACCCACTTCATCAATCACTATCACAACAAAAAAATAAACATCGTCGAAGACCAAGAATACATAGCATTTTTGGCTATGTGGCTTTCTCGTTGTGTTTTATGTACCAAGTCTCTGCAGGTGGCAAGGAAGTATCTTACTCTAGCCAACCAACTACACTTGAATCGAGGTATTTGTTTAAGTAAAATGATACTAGCCAACTTTTATAAATCTCTGAGCAAAGGTGCTGGTCGACTGAAAAGCCAAGAGAGTAACATGAATATCTTGTTGTTGGGGCCTTTCTGGCTACTACAACTCTGGCTTAATGCATCATTTGAGGCTAGCCTTCCTAACAAAAGAATGATCGGCGAAGAAGACCCAGAGATAAAGGAGATGTGATTCGAATGGACTCGACTGGTTAAGCTAACCCCTAGTGAAGAGGGGCAGACACTTAAGGCCTCTATCTCTAGCTTTATTAAGATGTTCGTCAAACAACACGAGTTTACACCGTGGATGACCCTATTTGCAAAAAGGAAATACGATCCTGAATGGTTTACCAAAGCCTTCCCTCCCGCGTTCAAAAAACATAAGGCATAGCCAATGCTTGTCTGAGAGGGTTTTCTGATCCCTCGACTAATTGTCCACAAACTTAACCTTCTGAGGGGCCAAACAGGTTTGATGGCCTACCAGCCAAATCTTGTCTCTCGACAGTTTGGTTTGGCCCAAACATTGCCCAAGTGTCTATATGACAAGAAGGTTCATGTGATCCTTCCCCATACTATCTACAATGGTATAGAGAGTTCGACGCCTCTTGCTCGACATGCCCACAAATCTCTCCTTATCCCTGTTTACTTCGAGCCCTCTCACCTTTGCACCCATGAATTCTACAAGTTGTGGTCGAGGCATTACACTGCAGAGTTCCTCGATGTTTCTTGTTTTATTCGCTTGATTGACTAAGCTTTTGTTGATGTGCAGGAGAAGGTCAAGAAAGGTATATCTACTCACATCAAAGAGATTCAAGCCTTCAAGAAGTACTTTGAATCTGCTTATCGACCAAATGATGTTAGTCAAACCATCCGTGAAGCCGCTGCTACGCTGAAAGAAATTTTTTCAAAGAAAATGGAGAATTTAAAAATCCCTTCATACGTTCCTCCTGAGAAACGTTATGAAGTGTCTTTCGCTCTATTTCCCCCAAAGACTCCTCGACTGCCATCTGCTGACTTTGGAGTGGCTCTTGCCCCTTTAGTTCCATATTGGTTCTACTACGAGGATCTATCAAAATCCTTCATCAACAGTCGAAACCCAAGGCATGCAGGTGGTTTCGACTAAACATACGCTCGACAGTTTCAAAGGGCACCTTCATGTCGGTATTGAAGATGTTCACATCAAATCCGAAATTCTTAAAGGTCGTCATCCTTCGATTTTATGTTACTTTATCTGAACTCTATTATTCCTAATATTTGGCAACGT